TTTTCAGGGTTTGAAGGCTGCAAACTGGCAGGCTCGAAATGCCTAACGAGGAGAGGCTATGTGGCAGGCAAAGGAGGGTTTTAAGAGCGTTTGAAGCCTGGCAAACGGCAGGCTCGAATGCCCTAACAAGAGAGGGCTATGTTGCGGCAAAGGGCAGGCTGCCAACCCTGAGCAGCAAAGGCTACGGCCAGAGGCCTTGGTGGTAATCTGCCGCGGAGGGTTTGTGAGGGGTTTTTAAGCGTTTGAAGCCTGGCAAATGGCAGGCTCGAATGCCCTAACAAGAGAGGGCTATGTGCAGGCAAAGGGCAGGCTGCAATGCTGGAACGCTGACGGCCAGGAGCTTGGTAGAAGCTGCCGCGAGGGATGTGCAGGAAAAGGGCAGGCTGCAAACCTGGAACAGCAAAGGCTGACGGCCAGAGGGCTTGGTGGAAGCTGCCGCGGAGGGTTTGAGGGGTTTTAAGGGTTTGAAGGCTGGCAAACGGCAGGCTCGAGTGCCCTAACGAGAGAGGGCTATGTGCAGGCAAAGGAGGGTTTTAAGGGTTTTAAGCATTTGAAGCCTGGCAAACGGCAGGCTCGAATGCCCTAACAAGAGAGGGCTATGTGCAGGCAAAGGGCAGGCTGCAATGCTGGAGCGCTGACGGCCAGGAGCTTGGTGAAGGCAAAGGCTGACGGCCAGAGGGCTTGGTGGAAGCTGCCGCGGAGGGTTTGAGGGGTTTTAAGGGTTTGAAGGCTGGCAAACGGCAGGCTCCAATGCCCTAACGAGAGAGGGCTATGTGCAGGCAAAGGAGGTTTTTAAGGGTTTTAAGTTTTAAAAGCGTTTGAAGCCTGGCAACGGAGGCTGCGAATGCCCTAACAGAAGGGCTATGTGCAGGCAAAGGGCAGGCGCCATGCTGCGCCGCTGACGCCAGGAGCTTTGGTGAAGGCAAAGCTGACGGCCCGAGGGCTTGGTGGAAGCCTGCTCTGCGGAGGGTGTGAGGGGTTTTAAGGTTTGAAGGCTGGCAAACGGCGGCTCGAATGCCCTAACGAGAGAGGCTATGTGCAGGCAAGGAGGGTTTTTTGGGGGAAAGGGTTTTAGGCGTTTTAGGGGTTTGAAGCCTGGCAAACGGCAGGTTCGAAGGCCCTAACAAGAGAGGGCTATGTGCAGGCAAAGGGCAGCGTTTTAGTGGCTTTAGGCGTTTTAGGGGTTTGAAGCCTGGCAAACGGCAGGCTCGAAGGCCCTAAGAAGAGAGGGCTATGTGCAGGCAAGGGAGAGTTTTAGGCGTTGTAGGGGTTTTACGGGTTAGAAGCCTGGCAAACGGCAGGCTCGAAGGCCCTAACAAGAGAGGGCTATGTGCAGGCAAGGGACGGTTTTAGGGGTTTTAGGCATTTTAGGGGTTTGAAGCCTGGCAAACGGCAGGCTCGAAGGCCCTAACAAGAGCGTTTTAGGTGTTTTAGGCGTTTTAGGGGTTTGAAGCCTGGCAAACGGCACGCTCAAAGGCCCTAACAAGAGAGGGCTATGTGCAGGCAAGGGAGCGTTTTAGGGGTTTTAGGGGTTTTAGGGGTTTGAAGCCTGGCAAACGGCAGGCTGGAAGGCCCTAACAAGAGAGGGCTAAGGCTCGAAGGCCCTAACAAGAGAGGGCTATGTGCAGGCAAGGGAGGGTTTTAGGCGTTTTAGGGGTGTTACGGGTGTGAAGCCTGGCAAACGGCAGGCCCGAAGGCCCTAAGAAGAGAGGGCTATGTGCAGGCAAGGGAGGGTTTTAGGGGTTTTAGGCGTTTTAGGGGTTTGAAGCCTGGCAAACGGTAGGCTCGAAGGCCCTAACAAGAGAGGGCTATGTGCAGGCAAGGGAGGGTTTTAGGGGTTTTAGGCGTTTTAGGGGTTTGAAGCCTGGCAAACGGCAGGCTCGAAGGCCCTAACAAGAGAGGGCTATGTGCAGGCTCGAAGGCCCTAATGCTGGAACGCTGACGGCCAAGAGCTTGGTGGAAGCTGCCGCGAGGGATGTGCAGGCAAAGGGCAGGCTGCAGCCCTGGAGCAGCAAAGGCTGACGGCTAGGCTTGGTGGAAGCTGCCGCGAAGAAATTGGAGGACGCATGCCAGGAGAAGGTTTACGCGATGTGGTTTGACCTTGGAAAGCTAAGAAGGAAAAGTTCCACACCTGCGGTGGTCCCAGGCGCCGCCCCGGCCTTGGCGAAGGCCGGGGTCGTCGGATTTCATTTTTTATGTGTGTCCAATGTATCCCAACACTTTTTGATGAGTCAAATCAGTGTCAAATCAGTGTCAAATCAGTGTCAAATCACCATACTTCACCATACTTGAGCATATCCCCGATTGTTGCTTGTTGCCACATGTCTGTGGGTCAAAATCTTATGTTTTAAGAGTTAGATGGTGGATGGCTGAAGCATATTTTCCCCGTTAAAGTGCATATCTTAGGGGTCAATCCCTGATGTTTGAAGCCCCCAGCATGTTTCAGGGATGTGTAAAGTCATAGAGAAGGGAATGGAACCCCAAAAAGATATCAAACTAACATATAGTGATATGGTATGTTTTTTTGAGTGGTTACTTATTAATGATATATAATGATATATATATATATATATATTATAACAATTTGTGACCTATCTAATCCCATCAATCTAAGTCTGCACCTTACATCCAAGGTTGCGAGCCGGGGGGACACACGAGAAAAACACAACGTGTGGCGATTTAATGGCATTGATATTACCAGGGGCACACCCCATTAACAACACACACACACAGACACACACATATATATATATACAATATATATATATACACACCTAAAACCCTAGATCTGTTACTTGCAAACCAACTTAACGAACTATGGGGCAGCAATTTGTAGTTGGATTGATAGTTGATAGTTATCTCCGTTATATCCCCATGATATCCCTATTATATACCAGAAAAATCTTCATTAAATCGCCATGAAGTCTCTATTACTCATGGTTAAATACCCATTATATACAACAATTTTCCATGTTTATTGTGCAATTTATATTGTCAGTATATCCCATTTCAAGTATCCCGAATTCAATATCTATGAGGTGTATATATATATAAGAACTACTAGATACCTATATACAGTCTATGTACCATTATTAATTATATATATTATATAGAGATATGAATATCCCGTGATGAATATAGTACCCATGGCATATTCAATGGATATTTATATGATGTACCCAGGCAGGTGACACTGTGGCAGAGATCACCTTGGAGGTAGCAAGGGGGGGAAGGTGGGGAAGTGGAAGGGGGTCCAGAATATTACCCTCCGGTAAACTAACATAACTATGGAACATCACCATTTTTAATGGGAAAACTCACTATAAATGGCCTTTTTTAATAGCTATGTTAAATTACCAGAGGGTATATATATACACCCTTTGGTAAACTAACATAGCGAACTGGAAAATAATCATCTTTAATTAATAGGTAAATCAACTATTTCTATGGGCCATGGCTTCAATAGCAAACTGTTAGATTCGCAGAGGGTATATGCAATTATATACATCATATATACACCTATGGATCCAAGCTTTCTCAAGAAGTGTTTGGATCTATATATATATATATATTTGTATATGGGGGTGTCTTAAAATGGGAGATATCACCATGGGTTTCAATACTGGCATGGTCTAATTTGGGATAAGGAAACCTCCATTTATATGTTTTATATGTATATATAATTTATAGTTGGAGTTTGTTCAACAAAATGAGATTATAACTATGGGTTCACACTTTCAAACTATGGTTTTTCTTTCCAAACCATGATAGAAAGTTTTGTTTAAGCCAGAGAAATTGTGATTCAAGGGTTTTTGTCTAATACAATCAAAAGTTGAACAATCATCATGCGTGCCGTGTTCCAATCAAACTTGGTTGAATTAATGGAATACAATGGAGATTTGATGGTATTAATGAGCATATAACGGGATATGTCATCAACTAGTATCAGTACTTGGATGATAGATTCAGTCCTTTTAAAATGGGAATCATCAATTTATTCTCATAGGATTTTGAAAAAAATCCATGATGTTTGGATTTCAAATTTCAAATATATGGGCTGGATGACCATAAACCATTCAAATCCATTCAAATCTCATGTAACTTGACCCGGTCACACTATGGAAAACGATATTTGGAGGAGGATTTTTTTCGGATGACGGTCACCATGGCTTCTAGGGATAGGGATTCCAGGCCCTAGATCCCTGGATCCCTCTGGCCCTGGATATCCTGAGTTTCTAAAAAAAGCCATTTTCTTGGGGAACATGATGACAGACACTGTGGAACTTGGGCACTTTTTATTTTTGAAACTTCGTCCAGGCAGCCATGGGGATATCATGATATGATGGGATATGTTACCAATACCCTCTGGTAAATTTTATTTTTGGAAGAGTTATGGTGATTCAATGGATAATGTTCATAGCATATAGTGGGGATAATGGTTCATGTCCATCAAGAATGGTTAATACTACTGGTTACAATGTACCCTCCAGTAAATGCACCCTCCAGTAAATTAGCAGTTCGACCCTGCCATTTGTCGGGGTTGGAGGACTAGTTTCCACTATAAATGGCTTATTTTCAGGGTCTATGTTTATTTACCAGAGGGTAATTTGCATTAGATGTAGATGATCTGAAGGTGGGAATTGGTTGGGGCATCGCCGGTTTATGTATGTCATGGAGATATTACCTGCTAGTAATTTCAGCGGGCCGGCAAACCCCATTTCCTACGGAATATGGGAAACAACATATGCCAATCAATAGAATTGGCTAGATTACAAGAGGATCAGAACATGTAAAACTGTAAAACATGTGTTTATTCAAAAATGCAAAAACTTAGCTGATCAAAAACGTTTCATAACCTTTCATGATACATCAATCCATAGGGAACTTGGAAATTGGCCTCCTTAACAAACAACATTTCATTAACACCATATAAAAATCACATTGGGGTTACTTAGGTTACTTCACTAACCAGTTACTGTATCTACTCCCGCGGCCACGTTATGCAGCACCATACAAGCCGCCTGCCCGTTGCATTGGATTTCAGCGGAGTTTGGGTGAACTGCGTGTCACGGCGCATGTTTCGCGTCGAGGAGGCTGGGTGAACTGCGGACCGTCCGGGAATCAAAGATGGCTGGGAAATCCCGGAACTACATTGAGATTTGAATGGAAAAGTCCTCGATCTACCATTTATAGTGAAATTTCCCATGAAAAATGGTGATTTTCCATCAGGTGACATGTAGAGAAATACAAGGAACTATGGTCTGTATATGTTAGCATCATAATCTGGTTGGTGGTCTCAAACATTTTTTATTTTCCATAATTAATATGGGATAATCCTTCCCATTGACTTTCATATTTTTTCAGAGGGGTTGAAACCACCAACCAGAAAAGTCATCGATCTAAATTTAAATGGTTGATTTTCCGGACAATATTGATCGCCGGACGTGACAAAGGTGATTTCACTTCGAAATTGGTGATGGAATAGTGATATGAATGGGGTAGAATTCATTAGAACCATTAACCACTTAGGAGCGGTTTTAATTCCAACAAAACATCTAGAAACATGGGGTTGAACCAAAGGATGTAAGCAAGAATCCACGTTTTCCGTTCAAACAATGAGGATTGAACATGATTGAGCCCAAGTTTTCCAGGCTTTTTCTTCCACCTGCAAAGATTCCCAGGCTTCGCTTCACCAGGTTTCGTAGACTGCCTGGTGCACAACTGCCCATCCCTCGATAATTTCGAGGGGACGATGCTAAGTTGGGGAATACCCTCTGGTTATGAGGAAAACAGTTCGCCATGGGAAATAGATGGCCCATAGAAATAGATGGTTTACCGGTTTACCTATAAAAAATGGTGATTTTCCATGGCGAACTGTTAGTCATAACCAGATGGTATAACCCCATCTAACTATAGTTCCAACTACCATAAACCCTAGTGAAATTGTACTTATAAGCCAACTTAGCTATCGAACGGGGACCCAACATTGTAAGTTGATGCTTTGATTCTTTTGTGTTGTGTTGAACAATGACAACATCTATGTCATACATACCCAGCTAAAACACATGAAATTCATTTGTTTTTGTTGCAGGGGTTCCAAGGTTCACTTATACTCTTATAGTAACAACCGAAAAGATAGAAAGAACCGTATTTGCGGAGGATGATAAAGATGATGTGTTCTCCATAGTTTCCAGGTTTCCAAATGTTCTATCTATTTTGTTTGGTTGCTATATATTATATAATTGTTAAGTTCACAATCCTAAATCTTTCAATTTGTCTTGAGTGAAAGCTTCTTTTGTGCTGGTCCATTTATAGGAGATATTTCATACAAGTGGGTGGGATTACAATGTGGTGCCCTGTAGCAACTATATGGTTCGATATATCTACCATAATTGACTAGAATCAACTTAGCTGCGAAACTGCAGACCCTAGAGGCCCTAGTTGGGTTGAGACTTATCCCCATTTGGGATATGCCATTGTTTACATTGTTTTTGTTCAATCCCCATTATAAATCACCATAAATCTCCATTTTTCATCGCGAAATCACGTTTTTTTTTTTTGCGTTGCTCATTTGACGCTTGAAATGATTGCAGTACTTGGAGGAGCATGCCACAGTTCGCTATGGAAATCGCAATGATAAAAAAAATACTTTGCTTCGAGTGATCCCCACCATGACATTTCAACAGAAACCCTGTGTGATGTTGACTGTCTCAAGCATCAATCCAGCATGAGATTGCTTCAAGTAATTTGTAGTAACTTGCTGTAAGATGTTGCCTGTCTCAAGCGTCTTTGCAAACAGCTCCAAAGGTACAGAAGTGGAAATGTCTCTGTCCACCCCAGTGACTCTGTCATCTGTTCAAACTGATTGCTTCAAACTTTGCCACCTGCAAAGTAAGAAGTGGCATTGCCCCGGTCACTCTACCACACACGCGCGAGTTTGCAAGTAATATATAACATACTTGTCTGACATTCTTTCTAACTTTCTTCTGCACATTCTTTGTCCCATATCTTCCTACATGAGGTCCGGCAGGGAACACTTGGCGTGGATACTCGCGGTTGAGGTCCGGCAGGGAACACTGGGCGTGGATGGTCGTGGTTGAGGTCCGGCAGGGAACACTGGGCGGGGATGGTCGTGGTTGAGGTCCGACAGAGAACACTGTGCGTCGAGGGTCGCGGTTGAGCAGGAGGAGGAGAGGAGAGGAGGAGAGGAGCAGGCAACTGACATAAAATCTAACAACCCTCACCTGGCAGGTGGGGAACAAAAGAAACGCTTAACATCATCTATAAATGGTCCATATTTTCCATAGCTATAGTTAATGCATGTTAATGCTACGTTCGTTTTCTGGGAGGCTCAGCTGGGTATGCAACCCTTGACCGCCTCAAGATGCCTGGAGATGGAGGAGACGGTTAGGTTGCGTCCTCTAGAGGTTGTTGTTTTTATGGGATATCATGGGGATAGCAACCTCCAAAATGGTGATTATAAGGGTAATTCAAGCGGCAAAAATGGTGATTAAGTGATGATTCCCCTCTGGTATCCTCTGGTAAACGTTTACATAGCTATGGAAAATCACTACTTTATAAAAATCAACGAACTAAATGGCCATGTTCAATAGCCATGTCAAATTACCAGAGGGTACCACCATTTTGAACTGCAGGTATATGATATATGTACCATGGTCAAAAGATGGTTTTGGTATGTTTTGGTGATGTAGTGGGATATTAAATTGGATATCATGGGATATATCACCAACAACAATTCGATCAGTGGCTGTGTCTGAAAATGGGGGATTAACCCCCAATTTTGTAGCAATTTTTCATCGTGAGAATGGTGAACACTATTTTCAGACAAACCCAGGACCCAGCTGTAATTTGCAGTACCCTCTGGTAAACTAACATAGCTATTGAAAATTGCCATAGAAATAGTGGATTTACCCATTGAAAATGGTGATTTTCCATAGTTAGTTTACCAGAGGGTACTTATTCAGAAAACATGTTGCCTAAACTCCCAATCTATTTTAACTGCCTTAGCACTTGGGTGTTTTAACATGTCTCAAGTCTTAACTATGGTCAAGTCCGCTTCAAAGCTCATTTGATAGACCCCTATTCTGTACAGGAACAGATATCCGCGCTGATAACACTCCTCTTTTTGCCAGTTAAAGTCCTCGTCTCGGTAACCGGTAAGTTCTCTCATCCAATATCAATTTTCCTGTTACCCTCTGGTAAATAAACATAGACCCTGAAAATAAGCAATTTATAGTGGAAACTAGTCTTCCAACCCCTGTCTGCCAGGGTCTATGTTAGTTTACTGGAGGGTAAACAAAAAAAAACCAAACACGTGGATTTCTTGGGATTTCAATGATAGTCCCCATGGAGTTTTGCGAGAATCTCAGGAGGGGCATGAGGAGGAGGAAGCCCAGGCGAGATGGAGACATCCATGGCTTCTGAATACACTCCATGGATTAACACTGATTAACAGATTATATAAAAATATATAACATCTTCATTTTATAGAATATAACATCTCCATTTTATAGAATATAACATCTCCATTTTATAGAATTCTATAATTTATCGTTGAAGGGAAGACTCTATGCATCTCTATGATCATAAATCTGAATCTCCTTAAATCAGACATGTTTATCCATTTATCCATGTTTTATCAGAAATTTGATCCACATATTATTGGTGTTGTGTACGGTTATAACCATTAAAATGAAGAGTTATGGTGATTCAATGGATAATGTTCATAGGATATAGTGAGGATAATGGTTCATGTCCATCAAGAATGGTTAATACTACTGGTTAAGACTTTGATAAATTGGATTATCATGACATACCCTAATCTCCTAGTATTAATCAACATCAGGTCAGGATGGCTTATCGAACCAGTTAGATGGATACACTACCCTTTGGGTAATATTTAACCTGATTGGTGGTTTGGAACATTTTTTATTTTTCCATATATTGGGGACAATAATCCCAACTGACGAACTCATATTTTTCAGAGGGGTAGGTTTACCACCAACCAGTAACAGTTTGCTATGGAAAACCACAATTAAAGAACGAAAAATAGGTACATCATTCTTTACTAACCGGTCCTTCAGCTTCCATAGGCCATATTTTGAGGGGGATATATGGAAATATATCGAATACCATCTGGTAAACGTTGACATAGCGAACTGTAAAATCCCCGCTTTTCATAGATAAATCAACGATTTCAATGGCCATGTTCCAGTTCGCTATTTTGACATCACCAGAAGTACCAATTCCTGAGCGCTTTTCCGTCGAACTGCTGGATCCGAACAAATGCATCCAGTGAAGGGTTTGTCAAAGATCAATGATCGGGTATACCCTCTGGTAAACTAACATAGCTATTGAAAATCACCATTTTTAATGGGAAAATCAACTATAAATGGCAATTTTCAATAGCTATGTTAAATTACCAGAGGGTAATGATGGTGATGTAGTTGTCTATTAGGAGATATATGGAGATATCATGATGTCTAACTTATCTAAACACTATATATATAAAATATAAAATGGATGTGTCTGAAAATGGGGAATTCCCTCTAAATGGCAGTTTCAATGGGGAAAACGCTGCCAAACTTTTGAGGGCACCCTTTTGAAATAAAGCCCTATTAAAAAGTCGAGGTTGGGGATTGTCCATCAGAAAACATAGTTGTTTTTGGTCAGGTGCAGATTTACCAAGGGATTTTCCATGTAGTAACCCATAATAACCCATAGATTTCCCCCCCAAAAAGATGCTGAACAGTGAGATTTATCACCATTTTCCTGGGATTTTGCATGGATTTTACCAACTTCTATCGTTCGTTTTGGGGCTTTACAGCCACATGACAGGATGGGCTCCTGGCAGGCGCGATGTGGGCAAACGTACAGAGAAATAGGTTTATAATGATATATATGATATATATATATAATCATATATATATACATATATATATATATATACACATATATATATATATACACATACATATATATATATATATACACATATATATATGATGTATAATACATACTGTATATTGATATAGACTAGAAATGCATCTATACAATGGTTTTCTGTTGTAATTTTTCGACTTTGCCCCATTTTGCCCCCCTGAAATTGACACATATTGACACGCATATATGAAAACAATGGGGAACTGGAAGGCAACTTGCCGATGAACAAAGATCATACTGTTGGGTCGATGTACACAGAGATTCAGATAGTCCGCGCCACTCGGATGGCTCTGCCCTAGACAATCAATCAAGAAAGATTTCAGGGAATCACAATTCTTATGTGCTGTTTTTGTTGTTTTTGTTGTTGTTGTTGTTGAAATTCCGTCACCTTACCGGGATTACAACTATCACAATCTTACTAAAGGGAAGGCCTCCCGTCTTCCACCGCACTGAAGGTGATCGTCAAGAGAGACGATGGAATCCGTGGGTCTTCGGTCACTCGCCGGTTTTGGAAGCAGGTCTTGCCCATGACAAGCTATAGCAACCCCCAAAAAATCAAAAAGACAGTACAATCCTACTGAAAATATTGCTAACTCAATTTTCTTGCTTTGGGGTAACTACAGATCATACTTCCTAAGAATAAGTGTGGAAGTTTTTTCAGCTACCCAGAGGTGGGTTCAAATTGATCTCGTTTCGCGATCCTCTTATGTAATGAGTGCAAACAAAGATAATCTAGTTGCAACTGAGAATTGGAACTAAAGCATGTCGAATGGTGTCATATTTAATGGTTAAACTCATTTTTTGATTTAAGGCCCCAGCACTTACGATCATCAGCACGGCACCCTAAAATTCAGAGGTTAAGATTTCCCTTGTTTATTGGGCCAATCGGGTATGTGCCTATGGTCTTAAGGGAGGAACAGCAATCTTGTTCACAACAGATGAAGCCATGACCCTTTTGGGCCTTGGGCCGGGTGGTTCAACGGCTGTGCAAAGGCAATAGCCTACAGGCCCTACAGTACTTGATTCAATGGATTGGTTGAAGGGAAAATTTACAGGAAACCATGGTTTTTACCATTCAATATGGGGTTTTCCTGTAAAATTTCCCTTAAACCAATCCATTGATTGATGCAGGATTCTTTGGTGCGCCGCCTTATGAGGAAGTACATGGAGCACACCCTCCACGAAATCACATATCGGGCAACTGCACCATGAGAACTCACAGGGGACGACCAGCTGGCCAACGAGATCTTGATGCGATACGACACAACAGGTGAGATGGCAATTTAAAGATCGATTCTCTCCATGAACTGTATTTTTCGAACAAAGAAATGGGATCATGATTTTTCATTGTGGGAAAACTATCCCAATAGAATGGGATCATGTAGAAAATTAACCAAACTGTCCCATATATATGTAGACATGTTCTACCATTTTTTACTGTTGTTTTGGCATTTCGAAGCACATATTTCTTCGGAACGGTTGGAACCCGACCAACTAACAGGAACGGCTGTTTAACCATCACACATAGGAAAATTGACATAATTGACAGTAAATTAAATCCATCCCATAAATATATTGAAATACTACAGTACAAGCAAATAAATTGGGATGATTGCAAGGGATTTACGCATATTTGGGACATTTTGGGACCTTTTGGGGAGGTGTTTACTATTTTACTATTGAGTTGATGGGATTCCCATCTGGTAAACATACAAAAAGCTATGGAACTTCACCATTTTATAGTTGGGTAAATCAACGAACTTTCTATGGCAATTTTCAATAGCAAACTGTAAGAGTTTACCAGAGGGTACTTGTACTTGGGAAAATCATTAGCGCTTTGCCCGGTAATGCGGCTCTGAGGTGCTTGTTTGCTTGCAGTGACCACTTTCATTCTGGTCTTGGGAGGCCAGTGAAGCGAAAATCTGCCGGAACACCTATGAATTGCGATGATTTTAAAGGGATTGAATGGGAAAATCATCTGTAACTAGAGATCATACTGGCATTTTATATTGTATAATTATAATTCCAATGTTTCTTGTTTTATTGGTCCCTCAGTGCCACTCATTGAGAACTGAAATGCTCCATTCATCGTTGCAATTAAAGATATGTGTTTTTGAGAAACAACATATAACCCACGTATCCAGTACACACACATATTCAGAGCAATTGCGTTTTTTCCGATGAAGAACGGGATTTTCCAGACATCCGACAGAGGCAGCATTCAGGGTGGCCGGTGGAACTGCACCCCCAAAAGCCAAGTGGTGGATTACCACCAAATTTGTTTTCCAAGTGATACATTTGTCTTGCTTAAACTTAGCAAAAGTCCTTAGGTTTTTCTCGTAAAACCACCAATGCTTATTCATATTTTTCCTGCATCTTTTGAATCTTTTGGTGCTTTAAATATTAGATCTTAGATCATTTAACATAGCCATTGACCATGGTATAAATGGCCCATAGAAATAGATGGTTTTTACATTTTTTTACCTATTAATAGCATGGTGATTTTCCATGGCAAACTGTAGCAAATAACCAGATGGTAGATCTTAGATCCCATGTTGCTGCTTGAATCACCATTTTCCCATGGTTAACTCCATGGTTAATCCCTCCATGCAATGATCACCGCGCCGCGAACAGACATTTTGCGACGAGATGGGCTCACGTCGAAAGCCCCGGCACCTTGGTCATCTTTCATGAAATTTGGAGCTTGCCCCATGGAAGTTGTAGAAAGGAAGCTCCAAATGATGATGATAACCGTGATTTAACCAGCAAATGGTGATGTTATTGATGATTTTTCACAATTGTTATAGGGATTTAATAATCAACAATGGAGATTTAATGGTGTTTTGGTTCATTTTCATTGGGTATAATTGGTGGCGATTTGACAAGAATAGTAATGGTTGATAATGGTTCATAATGGTTAATTTTATATGATTCATATCAATATCCATTGATCATTTAATGGTTGATACCAATGTTCAATCACTGGATTTGAATTTATATACTCCCATTATCCTCTGGTAAACTGTTACAGTTTGCGAACTGGAAAATTGCCATAGAAAGTTCGTTGATTTACCCAACTATAAAATGGTGGTTTTCCATAGCTTTTTGTATGTTTACCAGATGGGAATCCCATCAACTCAATAGTAAAATAGTAAACACCTCCTACATGGTCCCAAATATGCGTAAATCCCTTGCTGTGTCTAAGATTTCAGGGAGGGGATTGTTTTTCATTGTACTGGGAAAACGTATCCCAATACATCCCAATGATTTCATTGGTGTGAAACACCAACGGTTCTACTTGGGGATTTCACCAGGGGATAGGGCCTTCAATAGGGATTCAAAGGGATGATGAAACGGGCCACTTTTTTCATAGCTACGAAGGTATGTTAGATTATCGGAGGGTATAGGGTGTATACTACCTACTACAGTGATCTGAAAATGCCATGTTTTGCAGAGCATTTTTTTCGATTGGCTGTCTTTAGCATCCATGGCACTTTTTTGGAAAACAATAAGATATCCTGATATCTTTGCTTTGAATGGATAAATGTACAGGGCTCTCTGATTTTGAGGGGATTTAAGATTGGGGGCATGGGATTATGACTCCATTTAGATCTATTTGAAGATTACATTGATATACCAGTGATTTTGGTGTGAACTAGAGGGGTACAGTACCAGCTTTTAACCCATATCATTAATCCATATCCATACAAATTCCATATTATACACAAATCCCATATCTAGACATATCTAGACATATCTAGACATATCTAGACATATCTAGACATCCCCATGACACAATCCCCCCATGTTTGTTTGTTTTTTTTTTTTCGAGTCGTTTCGGCGTTGCTGATGGCTCGCCACCCCCAAGGCGACCACGAAGCACGCCTCCGCCACCTCGGCCGGGTGGGCCATCAGCCGCGATCTGCTGCCGGACGATCATCAGAAGGTGCCGAAGCGATGGCCGTTTAACGTTTCCGTTGAGGAAAGCCATAAAGGATCCACCATGGGTTCTTTAATATCTTTAATACATATAGATAGCATCAATGGGTGGTATAAAGATGTATAAACCATGGAAAACTCTGGGTATACAATGGGTATAAATTAAACATGTATAAACCATGTATAACATGTATAAACCAGTGGTTTTTTAATACCATCAATGGGTCACTTTGGCTTTGAAAAGGCCAACAAAAAACCAATGGATCACCATCAACGGACTACGAGCCCTGGGGATGATCCTGACCACCAGACACACCATTTGGAGCCAGGGATTTCCGTTGCTGATCCGCAAATGCTGGGGGTTCCATATATTAATTGGTAAAGAATGGTAAAGAATTGTTTGTGTATGATATATATATGATATATAATATATGTACTTATTTGTATATTACATAATATATATATACATGTAAATACATATCCAAGTTGGTTTAGTCTAAAAATGGGCTAAACAATCCATCAAGGGTTTTCGATTTTTGTCCGCCAATGACAGGAGGAGTTGATTAAACGCGCCTTCAGCGACTTGGCTCTGCTGATTCCATGGGATTTATAGCTGATTTATGACAGCTAAAGTTGCTTTACAACTAGGGCAACGATAGTGATAGTGTATGGTGTATGTATATATATTATTCATGTATATATATATATATTCATATGTATATATATATATACAGTTGAATGGCTTTATAAACCAAGGGCATCCCTGGTGTCTTTGCTGGCTACCAGATCGCACCGGGTGTGAACTGGAGGAGACAGTACATAGCTTGGGCATCGTCGGACATGACGAAGCAGAACTACTCGTTCAATGCCAATTTTTGCGCATGATAGCTCCCCATTCTTGCTGTTGGTCAAAGCATACAGTCTTTTTTTTTAGCTTTCAGGCCAGGCAAATCTTGTTGGTGAATGATTTCATTTCAGCCACATGATTGGACACCTACCGTAGGGGTTACAATAATTATGTGATAATCCCTTTAATCCCTTGCCCCAAAAATTTCATAATATTACATACCCATGAATTGGGCTTCCCCAAAAATTGGTTGTATTTCACATCATATTGACATGTTTATCAGCTATGTGTCTCCATATTCAGGAAGATTAAAACCCATGTTCAACCCAGCATTTTTCCTGGTTAAATCACCATTTTTGCTGGTTAAATCATTTTCAAATCGCCATTTTTGGTGTTTTTTTCTGAGCCTTTTTTGATGCAAAACCCAGCATCGAAAAGCGTCGGACTGAGGTGATCCAGCCTTCATGTGGGGATGCGCCACCTCGGCGTATCAGGTGCGCAAAGAAGATGGTCATTGAATGTAGCTATCAAAACATAGCTATTGAAAATGACCATTTATAGTGGATTTTCCCATAAAAAATTGTGATTTTCCATAGTTATGTTAGTTTACCAGAGGGTAAGTCATTCAACTATGACTGGTTGGTGGTGACTGGAACCTAACTGGATTATGACTTTCCCATCATATTTTGAATGTCATCATCCCAACTGACGAACTCACTCCATCATTTTTCAGGGGCGTGGCGAAAAAACACCAACCAGATGATAAATGGTGATGTTCCATTAGTCATGGTGTATTAACACAGGGTAATGGGCCATTACTTCAGTTATATCTCAATCAAGGTTTTGGGATCCGGAGATCCTCAGAGATTTTTCAATCACCATCGTTTCATCGAACCACTGGTTGACAAAGGTGGTCATTTATCATAAATCGACTATATTGACTATATCAACTGTTATTGTAAGATAGTGTAACCAAGTTTTAGCTATCATAAATCATATATATGGGTATGGGTCAATACCTATAGATACATTTTTAGTGGGATGAACATCCATTTACCAGCTATTTTGGGGTTCACTAGGTACCACGGTTTTGACCCATCCCCATATGTATATACGAACCAACGATTTAACTACTTCGATGTATCCACCCCAAAGCCAAAGCTTAAACTATCCCAAGCGCCAGGTGGAAGGTGCTTGGAACAAAGATGGCCGAAAACCATCCATCTGGGACAAGTTCACCCACGATGGTCGGGCCTTTAAGGCGGAACACGGACAAGACGGCACGATGCTTGTGGGTTGGCAGATAATGGTTGATGAATGCATCATATTATTCAGATGATATGTACAATATTGCATTAATTATCATAATGATGATACAACTTAATACACTATAGTTGCCAAATTGATAATTATTGATAATATTGTTTCAATATGTATTACCCTCCAGTAAATTAGCATAGATCCTGCCAGATGGGGTTTGGAAGACTAGTTTCCACTAAAAATTGGGTGTTTTCAGGGTCTATGTTAATTTACCAGAGGGTAATATGTATTAATTACCAACAATTTTGAGATAATATTGTTATTTATCAACAATAACTGTTATCATAACACAAATTATAATTATTTGGTCGTGCCATTATTTGCCAAGAGAATAACTAATTCCAATTGTTATGGTTATGATAATTGATAATTATATTGATAATGGTTCCTTAGATTATCATAAACCACTATCAATTTTCGCTAAACCATTATCAATCATAACTAATAATCATAATTCCAATTGATAATGGTTCCTTTTGAGCAGTTGGAGGATCCAATGGGTTTCTCTGAAGTCTTGGGAGGAGACTTGACACAAAGATGGTCATCTTCATCAGGGAAAGGACATTTACAAAATTGTTTCAGTGGGGGCATTGTGTTTGTTTAAAACGCATGATCCCTTCAGCCATATACCATTATTATCCATCATTATCAACTATTATACCTTTATTATACCAGTATTGTCCTATACTTATTGACGTTATTTAAGAAAGGTATCAGACACTTATCAGACACGATATTACATGGCCACCTTAGGATACAACATGAAACCCAGCGTCCAGGGAAGCAGTGGCGATGATGCATGCGACTACTATCACCGCTACGAAGAGGATTTGGCCCGGATCTCTGAATATGGCTTCAACACCTATAGGTTCCCAGTCGCGTCGGCAGGGATGATATGGTTTTGGACCAACAGAAAAGGTGATTTAAAGGGAACATGACCAGAATACATATATCTACAGCAAACAATGGATTTGTTCCTCTTAAAGGAGGTTTCCTGCAGTTTCTGAAGTCAATGGTTCAATGATAATAAGACCAACTATGGTGATACTATGGGATAGCATGGGGATATTTCACCGTCATGGCTGGGTTTCATGGGGTTGTCATGGGATTTTGCTGTGCATGGGCAGCAGGTTTTCCATCTCTTGGACGCGCGTCTTCCCGCTGGATGAAGATGGAAACATGTACATGAACGAGAGCCTTGGCATCATGTGGGTTTGCTTCAAATATTGGGTACCCCTGAATATCCACTGGTTGGGGATCATTTTCCCCTATCAGAACCTTTTTTTTTTTTCGGGTATACAGAATTTTCAGAAAGACCCATGTCATAAAGCCATGGAAACCGAAGAGGAAACCACATCAAAGTCTGCCTGTGGGGACGGTTTTGGGGGAATACCTAGCTGCATACCCCGTCATCATCCTATCTCCCCAATGACGAATAAAGTTTCTCTAAATAGATATGTTGAAACGGACAGATCCACCAGTAGACACCTGGGTTTGTTTGTTTTTTGTTGTGGGTTCCTGTAACCATTTGGGAGAAGTAGCTCTTTTTTGCATTAGATTAGTGGCGAATGAACAGTCCTCGAACTGGGGCGCATTGCTTGTCGCGAACTGGGGTCAAAGCTTGGTGCTTTGGGGGTCCCACTTCGAGTGGGATATAATCTCCAACCGATACTTGTTTTGGTGATGTGAAAGAAATCCCCAAGCCATGGGACATATTTACGAAACCCTGATATCGGCAGTGGATTACATGAGTCCGGAATGCATAGTGCATGTGTCACAAGTTTTTCTGGTTGGCAGGTGGGCAAGATTCAAAAGCATGATCAAACTCGTAGGATGACGGGCTGGAACCACATGCAAGTTTTTGCAGCCAGAACTAGCTTCTTTAATTTTGGTGTTGGAAACCCATGGTCAGCCTCCCCCATTGGACACAATGATTTGCTTGCCATGAGTCGTTTCTGCAGGAAAGGTGTACAGTTCTACAAGTGCCTTGGCCTTTGCACCGCAGCAAATCCATGTTCTGTTTTGCTGCCAACGGCCGCGTCACTGTCTGAACATGTGCTAATACCCATGGAAAATTCCTAAAATAGGGGTACCCCTAAATCATCCTAATATTTAATATAGATGTTTACATGGTTTTCCATTATGAAATTATGAACTATAAATCGTCCCTGGTTGGTGGTTTGGAACATTTTTTATTTTCCCATATATTGGCAATAATCATCCCAACTGACTTTCATATTTTTCAGAGGGGTGGCTCAACACCACCAAGCAGTACAACCAGTATAAATCATCCAGCTATTGGACTACCCCCAGGCTGATGGAAACCGCCCAGAGTCCAGTTCGATCTTCAGTTCGTCCATGGACCATTCCAGGCTGCACAAAATGATGATCGATTCTCCAAAAGGTCTGGCTTACCCGGCTTACCCTCTGGTAATTTAACCTAACATAACTATGGAAAGAACATCACCATTTTTATAGTTGGCTTATAAATCAACAAACATAAGCTGGTTGGTGGTTTGAAACATGAATTTTATTTGCCATTTCATATATGGGATGTCATCCTTCCCATTGACTAATATATATATATATATATTTCAGAGGGGTAGGTATACCACCACCAACCAGTACTACACAACTATGGAAAATCACAATTTTTTAATGGGAAAATCCACTATTTCTATAGGCCTTTTTCCATAGCTATGTTAAATTATCAGAGGGTATTGATTATCATTGGCCCTTTCAAGGCTTTTTTCCATGGTACAATGCTGCAAATGCCATTGATTCTCAATGGAATTCACTCCTAAAAACCGTCATCTGCTCACCTGCCAAACTTGGGAACCGTCCAAGGAATGTCTTACGCATTCTTGCCGACCGAGGCCCCTGTCGCGACCGCTATCAGTAGTTCTACAAAAACCTACCGTTATAGCAACCTCCATATGGATGAAGGTTAAGTTGATTATAGCATCATTTGTAGTAGAATGTGATTCTTGAATGTTTGTTTACTGTATGTCACATGTTGATTACGATATACATATATATAATTATATTATATATATATATATATGTACAGTTGTTTGATGATGCGCGATGATTGGAAACCCACACTTTCTTGACTAAGTTCCATAGAATTCAGAATGATGGGCTTGCTCCCACTTATTACTGAATGATTTCACCCCATGGAACTGGTATTCTGCCATTTTGAGCCTCATTGGTATGATTTTTTAAGAGTTTACGGGCTCCAAGACTGAACAAAACTAGCTAATTTGTACATGACTTTGGGATGCACAACCAAGTATAATAACACATGGACCTTAAATTTATCATATCTATTTGGCAACTCAAATCTAACTGGGCATATCTCAGGTCCGTCCCCACGTGCCCAGTTATCTCATCATTTCGAGTGTTTGCCAGTTGTCAAATTTGGTAATCAAAACATGTCTACACGTTGATCTAATGTTATCCAATGTTACCCGTCATAATACCAAATGTACTTCATTTCTAGGATCCAACAATAGTTCATATAAGTCTGTATAAGTTCATAGAAGGTTGTAAAAGTTCATATACATATATGTATACATACATATATATATATATATAACTATATACATACATATATATATATATGTATATATGTCCCATTTTTAAGCTCATTTATTTAATGTTACCCATTCTCCAGCATGTTTATCCACAAGTGCTTGAAGCTTCACCACCCGAAAACCTGGGAGGGTCAGCCGTGGAAATTCCCATCCACGGGCTGGGTTTCGGGACCTTTGGGGCTGTTGACCCTCTGGTAAACATAGAAAAAGCTATGGAAAATGGTCCATTTATAGATGTTTATAGATGTTTTTTGATGATTTGCCTATTTAAAATGGTGTTTCTCTGGTAAACTAGCAGTTTGCGAACTGGGCCATAGAAATAGATGGTTTACCTATTAATAGCATGGTGATTTTCCAGTTTGCTATGTTAAATTACCAGAGGGAGGGGGAAGGGATGATCAAAACATGGCACTGCCATGGTGACTAGCCATGTATCAAATGGTGGACTAGTTCTCTAATCTTCATCTATTATTGGGTATGGGTCAATACCTATAGATACATTTTTAGTGGAATGAACATCCATTTTAACCCAGCTATGACTTGGGGTTCACCAGGGGGTTTTGACCCATCCCCCTAGCGTCGCAGGTATCACGCCCATCGTGACGATGTTCCACTGGGATTTGCCGGCCGAGTTGGATTGGTTGGATGAGGACGGAGGGGGTGGTCCAGGCTGGTGAAACATGTCGTATACAATGATCAATTGTGTGTATATGTATATATGTATACTGTATACATAATATAATAATAATATAATATAATATAATATATAATATAATGTAATATAATATAATATATAATGTTATATAAAATATAATTTATGTATAATGTATGTACAGTACATATATATATGTATATATATATATTTATATGTATTATATATATACGTAATATATATATGTATGTATATGATAATATATATATATAATATACTGTATTTATTTATGTGCAATTGTCAAAATGAATTGAATTGTTTTCCCTTGTTTCCCTTGTTGGGGAATGGTCATCATTCCATCTCGGGATGTAAAAAAACTCCTTGTCTTTGGACTCCCAACATGGGATAGATGACCACGGTTACCATATACCATGGTTTGACCATGGTACATATTGATATGTGATTATATAATATTATATACGTATCTTGGAAATCATGGGCCGAAGATGTGGTGAGTTTAGGTACCATAAAAGGTGTGTGTGTGTGTGTTACTGTAGGTTGGCCCGAACACATTTTTAGTTTGCTTTATTGTGCTAAATTGTGCTTAAGCCCAACATGTTTCATCTAGCGAGAGTTGTACTTCACACCAGGGGTAACTTGACCTTGGTGAACGGTTGGTTGATGTGCTGCTTGTTAGCCAAAGAAATAAGTTTATGTGTCTACATATATCCTCATCCTGCTAAGAATAAACATATTGCAAGGGTATGTAAGGTTAGGGGTCTGACATAGCACCTGGGCCTACACCTGGGGTAGGATGTTTAGTCCTAATATTGAAAAGAGAGCTTCAGCCAACAATCATGTTCTACCCTCTGGTAAACTAACATAGCTACTGAAAATGGCCATTTATAGTGAGTTTTCCCATTAAACATCGTGATTTTCCATAGTTATGTTAGTTTACCAGAGGGTAATGATACGATCTATCGATGCATGTAATGCAATGCAATTGATCCACCTCCAACAAGGTTTGTCCTCGTGTCCGCAGAGGGTCTGCACGTTGGTTAACCCAACTACTGCTACAGAACTTACAACTACAAACCTGGGGCTTCCACTGTGTAAGCTATGGTTATCAACCAACTTTCAGAAATAACCCATAAAGCACATTTTTTCCTTCCAAATTTCATTTTTTTCCATGTTCACAGATTTGAAATCCATATGTGTTTCTGGTTGGACACTCATCTTTACCCTTTCTGGTTGGTGGTTTGGAACATGTTTTATTTTTCCATATATTGGGAATAATAACCCCAACTGACTTTCATATTTTTCAGAGGGGTGGTTCAACCACCAACCAGCTTTAAATTACATCAAAAATCACCATTTCGGCTGGTTTCAGTCACCATTTCCTCTGTTCAAATCACCAGGCTATGGATCAATACCTATACATACCATTTTTAGTGGGATGAACATCCATAAATCCCAGCTATTTTGATGTGAACTACAGGGGTACTATTGGTCTTGACACACTGCCACCAGTCTGCAGGAAGTGGTGGACTACTTCCTGCGCTACGCCGAGTTTCTTTTAGCGACCTTCCCGGAGGCAGCTGGAGATCGTGGAGATATTCACCATGATATTCCCCCAATTTTCAGAAAATCCACAAGGATGGTCCAAATCATCAATTTTTTAATGGGACTATTTGATTATTGATTTTATAATAGATTAACTATAATAAGTACATGATATGATATGATATATATGTATATTATGATATATATATATATATATATTATCATGAAACTCATCAAAATTAACGTTTGTTTTTACCCACATTTCACCAACGTGTCATATTAAGACCCAGTTTGATGTTATCCCAGAATTATTGAATTGGACGGAACATTGCACAGCACATAGTTATATATATATAATATGTTAATAGTGCTCATTCATGATTGGATTTGCATCATCAAAAAACAATATGTGTGTGTGACATATTGCGGATATAATTGATGAATGATCGTGTTGAATGGTATTTTAATCAAGTGAAACCAAACCATCAATTGTTGTTTTAACATAGATACCGGGAGGTGCTTTGATAAATCATTGTTGGTTGATGTTGGTTGACGACTAGTTCGGGATCATACTACCCAAAGTATTGAGAAGTATCGCAATTCATCATGGAAATCCCCACCAGCCATGAATCCAAAGATCCAATGGGCAAAAAACGATGGAAAAATCAAGCTGGTTGGTGGTTTGGAACATGATTTTTTTATTTTTCCATTCAGTTGGGAATGTCATCATCCCAACTGACTCATATGTTTTAAGAGGGGTGGCTCAGCCACCAACCAGGTATAAATGGGGAGTTTGATTGCTTGGATCTGTTTCTATAGGGATGATTAGCGAGGGCCCCTTCGTGGGGGTGTCCCACGGATGGCCATCGAATAGGGAAATTGAGGTTCAGCAAGACCGGCATGGAATGGAACGATTTTCCTTCAGTTTCAGGACACACACACATATGCATATATATACATACATAACCTGCAAGGATTTCTATAGGGATAAATCTGGATGAATTTGATCATGACCGAAGCCGTCGCTTTCCGTCACTGAAGAATGATGGTGAATGAAGAAAATCGTTCCCACATGGCCCTTGAATTTCATCATGTTTCAGCTATTTTTGGGGTTGGTGAAGTACTATAAATCCCCAGTTCACCTGTGGTTTTGATACAATAAAATAGATCACAGTGAAATTCCTTTATCAAAACCACAGGTGAACTTAACCATGGTTAACTCAAACACTGGATTTATAATATTTTGAAACATGGTTTCAAATCCATTCTAATCCAGTGTTTGAGTTAACCATGGTTAATCACACTTGAAACATGTTTTTTTGCTTGTAAAAATCCACATTTTTCGGATCCGTTCTGGGTAGACGCCAGGTGAATTGGTGGTCCACCTTCAACGAACCCTGGACCTTCTGCACCATGGGCTACGCCTTAGGTTTCGCAGAAGCAAAGTGGGTGGAGAAAGTTTGAGAACTGAGATTTTTCTGGAAAATCATGCAGAGATGATGGTTTAATCGGTGAAAAACAAGGTTTTTTCTTGATGTTTTAGCCACTGAACATGTTGATTTCAGCAAGTAACTTTCAGTATGTCCATGGGCTAAGCGCAGAATGATGCCCGATCAACAAAACGGCCACCCATGGTGGACACAACCACCTTCGTTTCGAAAAGTGACGTCGTAGAATGACGTGGAACCGTAAGTAGTCTGGTGAATCAACATCCTTATTGGAATATATCCATAAAATTGTGAGTGAATAGCCATAAATTGGTGGCAATCCTGTTAGAATACGTTAGAATATACACACATAATATGGCTCATAAGCATGATCCTAAACATCTACAAAAGACAACACTTTAAATCGCAGGTGGCGACTTTTTCCGGTGAAAACCGGGAGATGCCAAAAACTTTCAGCCACAACTTAGGCCTGCATGCCCCTGGAAAGCAGTCCCAGTACTTGCAGTACAGGTGTGGCCACAACGTGCCTTGGGTCCAAGCTTTTGGAGCATCGAAGATTCCGAAGATCGCTGGGAGTTCCGAAGAGCGGTTGTGAGTTGACCACAGAGAGTGTTGTTTCAAACAGCAAAGCAAGTAGCTGGTTTGGAAATGTTTGGAAATCTTTGGAACCATATGGAATTTTACGACTTTCCTATTGGGAATATTTATGGTTCCCATGGAATTTTACGACTTTTCCCATTCATATTGGGAATTGGGAATGGAAATTCATCATCCCAACTGACTTTCACTCACTCCATGATTTTTTCAGTGACCTGCATCATGGTGGATCCCACATCTCCAAAATGGATCCCATCCCAAGTAAGTGTCCTTTTGTAACGGTTACTTTATGCAACAGAAACAGATTGGTAAATCAACCAATGAAAATCCCCACACTTGTGCTGATTAAATCCTTAAATCTACACTTTTGATGGTCATATCCCGAGAAGAGTCAGGTCTCAGGATACATTGCAGTGCAGGCGGTAATTGCGCTATAGGCAAAGGCTTTAGATCATGTTTTTTAATGTGTTTTTGTTTACATTGTCGTCGAATTCTATGTACATTATATATCATATCCCTCGACATCTATGTATATCATATATCCATTATATATATATATATATATCCACTATCCACCTTGAATTCAGTATTCATGTTGTTTTGGTGGAGTATCCAATGTTGTCCTCTGTTGTTCAAAGTCCTCAGATGTCACGAGAATGACTTGTTTATGCACAGGATACTGTAAAACTTCTATGTAGATGTTGCAATATGGTTCCATGCCTACCTTCACTTAGGAAGATTGGTATCAATTTTATTTCTTATGCGGACATTTTTACACATTGCGCTTGGGATTGGTGTTTTTACGTAAACACAGTCTTGATCCTAGAGGTCTTGGTTCTCTGCACTTATTGATGGTGCAATCCATCAGATTTGGTTTTTCGGTCAGTTCAGCCTGATAGCCCAGGTCAGTTCACACCCAAAAATGACTGACAGCTGGTAGATGTTCATCCCCCCATTGATATGATACCATGGGTCCCTGGGTTACCCTTTTTCCATGGCTAGGCTATGCCCCAAAAATCCCCAAAAAATGAGGTACAACCTGGCGCTGGAATGGACTTTTTCTCTCCCGTGTACTGATGTTTTTGTGTGCTGTGTTGTTCCAACAAGCCATGGGGGATTTTGCATGTGTATAGCGTAAAAAAAACAAAATATACTGAAATCATGTCTAGAGATAGGTAAAACATGTTGCAAACATGTGTGTGTTTTTTGACCCTATAGATACTCTTGAATTATCCATATACGAAGAAGTTAAGAAGTTCAGGGATATTTGCCCAGATATTTTTCTGGTGTAAATTATACCCTCTGGATCCCTCTGGTAAACTAGCATAACTATGGAAAGTCACCATTTTCAATGGGTAAATCCACTATAAATCACCATTTTCAATAGCTATGTTAGTTTACCAGAGGGTACATTATAGATGCATAAATAAGACGGTTTCTGAAAATGGAGGATCCCCAAGTCGTTTCTATACTAAGTCATGGTCATGACATGGATGATTTGGGGTACTCCCTACGACTTAGGAAACCTCCATATGGCTTTATGTATAGCTGTGAAACATCAATGAACATCATCATTGAAATGATAGGCAAAGCATCATAAATCATCCATAAATCGACCATAAATCGTCCATAAATCAAGCTTAAATCATCCATAAATCATCCATAAATCAAGCTTACACCATCCATAAATGGGCCATGGCCCGTATGGGTGGCCCATAGCTATGACAAATAACCAGAGGGTATCTCCTCCTTTTTTCGTTGCTGTAGGTCTTACGAGCACACGCTCGGGCTGTAGATTTGTTCCGACGCAAGTTCTTCCGACCCGGCATGAAGCGCCTTGGTGGCATCGAAGAACGAAGATCGAATGGTATCTTTCAAATCTGGAGATGCAGAAGATGTTTCAGACCTGTTTTTTTTTTCAGTTAGAAACCAGGATAGCTGTGTCAGACATGTTGTTTTCAGAAACAAATCTCGGAGGCTTGTCCCTTTCGGTTTCTGGAGGTGATTTATGTTCCCTCCAAATCATCATGTTTACCCCGGGATTTCATGGGGGTATAATGGGATAAGCATGGATAACCTAACCTAACTTTGCAGGCATGCCTCATTTTCAAAGACACCAACAGGAGGGAAAGTCAGTGGCCGAGCTGCTCGCAACACTGGGGTTACCAATGACTCATCCCAGTTGAGTCGTAGCTGACTGTACTCATGATATCCTGATCGTTGGATGAGGGATGTGTCGGTTTCATACCGTAGAATCGGTATCTTTAACTATGAAAAATCAATCTTTTTGATGCATCTTTGTTTTATGTTCCATGGTTTAAATTTCTGGAATGTCAACAAACATAAAGCACCCATTTGGACATAGTTTATAGCACCTTATGGTGATTTGGGGGATGGTTTATGTTTTTTTGTCTTATTCACATTATAGAATTTCTATTTCCAATCCGGGATTTTCCCTTAACATTCCCGTTGATCATTTTTTTTAACCAGATAAATGTCTTTGGAAAATGGGGGTCTAATTGGAACATAGGGGTATAATTGTCCCAGATATATCATTTTTCCCATTAAAAAAAAACCATGTTCCATCCTGGATTTTCCCCAACTCGATTCCGAAAAACCAGCACCCAACAAGCACCCTGCTGCTGCGCCAAGGATCGGCTTGGTGCTGAATTACGACTTCCCCTTCCCCAAGGATCCTGAGAACCCACACGATCTGGACGCAGTGCAAGTGGATGCGATCAAAGGGGTAGGCCACGTTTTGCAAAGGGCGAAGGAGACCATGTGGTTGACCCCTGAAAAATGGGGGAAACATGGAGAAAAACTAATGAATCATGGAGAAAAAACAACGCAAAATGGAAAAACCAACGAACAAATGGAGAAAAAACAATGAACAATGGGAGAAAACCAAACGAAAATTGAGAAAAAAACATGAAACATAGGGGAAAAAAGCATTTAACCATATTTGGAACATGTTTTTTTTTGCATGATTTTGCCATGAAAGGAGGAGTTGGATCGAAACTCCGTTTTCAATGGATGTATTTAATGGATAAGAGATGATGTATCATGATTCATGATATATCTACTAATATATCTACTAATATATCTACGAATATGTCTACTATATGTATACTTAGATTCGTGAAACTAAAACCAACTTGTCAACTTGTGGGGCTCTGTCCCTTTAAAGGGATCCCTTTGTATCAACAGCTCATGGATGCTGATTCGATTCTGATTCCTCAATTTGAACATGTTGAGATGACTAACATATAGATAGATATAGAATAGATAGTCATATATAGATAGATATATTATATCATATTTATTTATATTATATATATATATATTATAGATAGATATAGATAGATATACTCCAGTTATATAAGTGATACCATCTGGTGATGACTAACATAGCCATGGAAAATTCCAACCATAAATGGAGGTTGATGTCGCTGGGAAAATCATCTATTTCTATGGGCCATCTATACCATGGCTATGTTAAATAACCAGAGGGTAATCTATAACTTATTGTTGGTTATTTGTTAACCCCAGCATTTATCTGGTCAAAATGTCATGAT